GGGCTGGACCCGTTCCGCCGCGAAGGCACTGAGAGACGTGACAGAAGCAATGGCCGAACGCGGCTTTCCCGCCAAAACCGGCACGGGCTGGTCACGCCCCTCGAGCCTCTTGGAGCCGTTGGCCCCGCCCCTGGCACGAGCCGTTTGCGGCTGGCCCTCGCCCCGCCCCCCGCGCGCATTTCGAATCCATGGCCCCGCCCCGCCCCGCAGGAGCCTTCCACGTGGGTCGGCGCCCTTTGCGCCTGCAGTCGCTTGCGGCGTTTATAGGTGGCTTTCTTACAATCAGTGGGTGAGAGTATATAGGCACGGGGAGCTGGGGATGCCCAGTGTGAGGGAGTTGTGGCTGTATAATGTGTCTCCCTTGAAACAGGGTAGGGCTGGTCTTACCTGGGAAATGTGACCTCCTTCTCCATTTTCTCCTGGAGCAGGGCAGTTACTTCCCTTCCAACAGTTGCCTGTGAGCAGGGAAGCCTGTGACCTTGGGGTTGCAGATCTATCCGGGTGCAGTGGGATGTTAGGTTTGTTTAGCTGTGATGATGGCTTGGGAAATATGCAAGAAACATGGTAAGGGGGGGTTGTTTTCTTTCTTTAACAGTGCTAACAGGTTTTCCTCAGTTGATTCAATAAAAGAGATTCCCCCCCCAAAAAAACAAAACAAAACAAAACCAAAAAACAAAACCCTTGCTCCTCATGTTTTTGGACCATCACAGTTACAACATCTCTCCAACACTGTTAAAAGAAGCAAGGTTGATTTGGTAATGTGTTTTGTTGGACTAACTACGTGATTGGGAGAGATGTGTTAAACAAGCTGTTGGACTCTGTGCGAACTTAGGGGCTGGAGAGATGTCTCAGATCTGTCTCTAAAGAGTCAGATAAAGCATAAGCTAAATAGTAGGTAAAACAATCGTTTTTGTTTAACTCCGTTATGTAAGTGAAAAGTCATTTGCAGAAGGGGAAGAGGGCAGTAGAGCAAAGAAAATTAATTTGAAAAAGCTAGAAGCCAAATGAAAGATAGTTGAACTAGCTGCACTTAATGATATAAAACAGGACTGCCCCAACTTCTGAAAGTGGCTGGAGGCCACAGGCCCTGGCTACCTGCTAAAGGGGCCGCACCACAACTGGAGGCCTATATGCTGTTAGGGCTGGATACCATGCAGCCTGGGTTCCCCAAGCCAGAGGGTCCCTTTGCTCATAGGATGTCCTGCCTTCAGCTGTGGGGGTAGGAAGCTGAAGTTGAGAGGGAGCCCAAACACTGCCAGCTAATAGGGATGAGCAAGGATCTGCTCTGGTGAGTGTACCCAGATGGGCTAGTAGTTTTATTTGGGCATTTATGGGTGCAGATAGAACTGAGAATTTTCACTTGATCTGGCCACAGAAAGCAGTTAGTAGCTGTGACTAAACACAAGAGCACAGCTGCAGACAGCTTAAAATGGGATGAAAATCTAACCCCTCATTGCATGAAGTATCAGATAAAGCAGGAGTGAGCAATTATTTCGGGCAGAGGTTCGCTTACTGAGCTTTGGCAAGCCATCAAGGGCCGCAGGACAGGCAGCCAGGGGCAGATAAATATTAATTTTCTAAATTTGGAGGGGGGGCTTGCGGGCCGGATAGAATGGCATGGCGGGCTACATTTTGCCCACCCATGAGATAAAGACATTTAAAAATGTAGCATCTTTTGTAACTTGCGTCTGGCCAGCTCCCAGCCTGTCCCCATTTTCAGAATGGGAGGTGGTGGGAAAGGGAGCAGAGAGAGTTCAGTCTAGGGTTTTTCAGTCCTGGCATAGTGTGGGGCAGGTGTACTGGAGCCCCCTGGAGGGGGACACTGCAGTTCATTCACCGTACCCTCCAGCATCAGCTGGGGAGCCCCAAGAACAAGCTCCCTTCACTGCTTTTCTTCCCTCCCATTCTGAAAACAGCAACCCCTGGCAAAGAGCCCTGGTCATTTTTATGGTAACCTGACTGCAGGCTCCCAGCCCACAGCTATGTTCCCCCCTCCCCAGAACCAGCAGTGAACTTCTGTTTGGTCTCGGGTAATGTAACTCAGAACGCTTTGCAGGAATCATTTGGAGTTACAGCTGAGAGCTGCATTTCTGTCTGCACCCTGTTTCTATTTACCCATGAGGCATGGGTGTGGCTGATGGGAAGGCAAGAGGCCATGAAGCTGTGCTCTAGGGAGGGGCTGTTGAAGGTTTGGCCTGCAAAGCCACAGGGGCATTAGTGATGCACCCTGTCTTTTACGATACAAGCTAAGGAGCCCAGTGGATCAAGGTAGGCAAAGTGGGGCACTATGGAGAGAGAGAGAGGGAGAGTGAGGAGGCTGAAACCAGACAGAAAGAACAATGCCTTGCTTGAGGCAGAGATTGGGCCAAACCAAGGCAGCCTGATGATCAAGAGAGCAGAATGAAGCACCTAAGGCTTGTCCTAGTACTCTGAGGGCAACCTCCCATGTCTATATCATCATAAAGGCCTGGCAGGAAAAGATGGGGCTGTGGCTGGAGAGTCCCAAGCAGGGGGGAGCAGGAGTGGTGCAGCAACCAAAGGGCATCGTGGCCATCTTCCAAGGTGGATCCTGTTAAATCTGTTGCACCAAGTTTTGAACCTGTTTAAATTGTCAACCTCTACAAGGTCCTGTGGCAGTGAGTTCCACATGCTGTGTTAAAAATAATTTCCTTTCATTTTGAAACTACTTCCTAATAATTTCCTTGTGTTCCCTAGTTCTACTGTTGTGAGAAATGTTAAACAGTATATCCCTATTTATTTCTCCACATTACTCATAATTTATACATCTCTATCGTATCACCCCCTCCCCCCCACAATCATTTTCTCTCTAGATGAGCAATCCTAGTCTATTTAGTCTGTCCTCACGGAAGCTTCTTCATGTCCCTAATCATCCCTCTAGTCCTTCTGTGTACCTTTTCTAGTTCTACTATAGTCCTTTGGAAGTTGGGGAAACAGAATGGCCCAGAATAGACAGTATTCAAGGTGCAGATGTGAATAGCAGTGACTGTAGAGTCATGTATATGTATCCCTTTGCACTTAACAGCACTGAATGTCATCTACCAGTTTGCTGCCTGTTCGCTGAGCCTGGGCAAAGCGGCAAGTATTTGCTTTGGATTCAGCCAATTTGGAGGGACAACGATTCAATTCGGAGATTCGAATCACTGTCCGGATTCGATTAGGCCAAATCAGATCCGAAGTTTTGGTGCTGCTTCGGAGATTTGGCCATAGACTAAACAGGTGCAGCAGTCCTTACCACGGTGGACGCAGCTGCCTCTGGCTGGTAAGTCTGTTGTGGTGCGGGGAGGGATTGGGGCTGGGACAAGCTGCCCAGCCGGGGTGGGAGGCGTGGGTCTTTTTGGGGGGGGGGTGCGGTATGCAGGCACAGCAGCGCTGGGAGCAGGGGCTATGCGCTGCTGCTGCTTGTCTAGTTGGAGTGGAGGGAAGCAATGCAGGCGCGGCTCACTCTGGGCAGAAGGGGGCAGGCAACAGCAAGGCATAGACCCTGCTCCCAGTGGTGCCGTGCCCGCATCCTGCGCCCTGCTACCCCGGCTGGGCAAGCGGCGGCAGTGCCTCTCTCTCCTCTGCTTCCAGCACTGCCGTACCCGTATCAGTGGTGGGAGTGGGGGCTCTGCCCTTCTCCTGCTGGCCCAGCTGGTGCGGGGGAGCGGGCACTGCTGCTGCTGGCCCAACAGGTGTGGGATGTGGGGGCGGCACCGCTGGGAGCAGGGGCTATGCCCTGCTGCTGCTTTCCCCTTTCTGCCTGGAGTGCACCGCACCCATATCCTGCCCCCATCCCGCTTCGGCTGGGCAAACAGCAGCAGGGCATAGCCCCTGCTCTGAGCACTACTGCGCCTGCATCCCACTCCCCAAGTCCCGCACCCCCTGCCCTGACTAGGCAGCTTGTCCCAGCCCCAGCCTCAATCCCTCCCATCCCCCTCCGCAGACCACGACAGACTTACCAGCTGGAGGCAGCTGTGTCAGCGTGGTGAGGACTGCTGCCTGTTTAGTCTCTGGCTGAATCTCCAAATCGGCTGAATCTTTCTGAATTGATTCAGAGGCTTCCGATTCGATTCAGCACTTTTAATTGGTCTCCCAATTTGATTTGGATTCAGAGATTCAGTCACCGAATCAGGCCGAATCGCCTCCTAATCAAATAGGCTACCAAAGCTTCAGACAGCCCTGCTGTTCACTCAATTTTACTTTTTCAGTTTTACTTCCAAGGAACTTGTGCAGTTCAGCTTTGTTTTTTGCCACCATGAATAATTTAGAGGTATCTGTAAATTTGGCCTCATTATTCTCATCCTTTCCAAATTGTTTATGAGCCTGTTAAACAGCATAGACCCCAGGGAGACCCTACTGCTTATCTCGCTACATGGGCAACTGGTGCCTCTTGAGTCGGGGGACACGTACCACCCCCCTCTCTCCCCCGACACCAGTCAGCGACCGGTGGCTGATCACACTGACCAGGGCAGGGGTCCCCTGCAGCCACCAAAAAGTGGCTGCACTGCTTCCAGAAGTCCCACAGCCACTTCTGGAAGCGACATGGCCGCTTTTGCTGGCGGCCCCACTCCCTGGCCAGCGCTTGTAGGGGGGGCACTGGTGCTCCCACCTGCCCCCTGCCTGTCACCTAAACAGGGAGTGTAGCCTGACAGGAGGTGCAGCAGCGCTCTCGGGGTGCATGTGCACCCTCTAACGCATCCCAGTCTCACTCTATTGTGAGAAATGACCATATACTTATTCTTTGCTTTCTGTCCTTTAGCCAGCCTTTATCAATTTTCACTAAGAGCATAGTTGTAGTTTAGGTTCATCCACTTAGTTTTCATGTGGGCACTTAGGACAATGGATAAGATGGATTACAATCTGTGATAGATATGGAGGATCCATGGATGCTGATGGTTTCATTGTGGGATGTATGTTTTGTGGTTCAGCAGCTATTACCCTCCTATTCTCTCTTAAATTAACATCAGTTTTCTAAAAACCATGACTCACATCTGTATTGGCCTGCAAACAACTACAGAGGGCAAACCCACAAAGCACCACACTTGCCTCTGTATAGCTAGGAATCTTTGCAAATACACCAAGAAAGCTGTAATCTCCAGCCAGGCCCTCAGATACCAGCAAATTTCTTCCTGAAGCAAGAGAATTTATTCTTAGGACTGTTGTTTGCTTGTATGCAGTTACCCTGAGGAAGTTACCTTCAGGCTTTTGCATTGAGGCTCCCTGTATCAGCACAAATCTGTTCATTTTGCTATAGCCATGTAAAACTGTTGAGTCTTGTTCTGGTTTTATTTATACTGGGACAGTAGCAGGAAGCTTCAGTTATATATTTTCTGTCCCTCCTTATGGGGTCATCAGGGATGTTGAGGCACAGGTACCCTCACTACCTTTGTCAGGTGTTTGATCATGCCTCCTTCCTCTCCCCCAGGGATAGGATTGCTCTTTGTGGATTTTATTTATTAAATGGCTTAATGACTCCCCTTTCCTCATAACTATATAGTGCTGCAGATGACTGTATCGTTGTGCTGTTAAACCTGGTGTGGAAGAGGAAAGGAGATGATCTAGCT